GTCGTGTGTGTGTGTGTGTGTGTGTGTGTGTGTGTGTGTGTGTGTGTGTGTGTGTGTGTGTGTGTGTGTGTGTGTGTGTGTGTGTGTGTGTGTCGGTCTGTGTGTGTGTGTCGATCTGTGTGTGCGTGCGTGCATGCACGCGTGCATCTAGTCTAGCTGTCTCTCTGTCTGTGCGCGCATGCCTGTGCGTGCATGTATGTGTGCGTGTATATGTGCGTGCCTGTGCGTGCGTGCGTGCCTGTACGTGCGGGTCCGTAGTCGGCTCGCCTCACCGGCAAACTTAATTGACCTGTGTGGCGAGTTCACCCATCTGGAGATCGGTGAGCTCGGCTGGTGGGTTGCGTTCACCCTCCTGGAGATCGGCTTACTCGTGAGATGTTTCTCAAATGTACAAACTTACATGCAAACGTTTCGACGTTGGGGCGTGTAAAACATCTCACGAGTTGGCCGGCGAGGCGAGCTCACCGATCTCCAGAAGGGTGAACTCAAACCACGAGCCGAGCTCACCGATCTCCAGACGGGTCAACTCGCCAAAATGCGGGTGGGAGTTGGCAGGTGGGGCGAGTTGACCGCAGCCCTACGTGCGTGTGTGTGTGAATGATATTCTGGAAATTGATGTCATACTTGCAGCATAACTAGCTACATACTCCACTTACCAGCTCATATACCAACATCTAAGGTTAATTACATACAATGGCATGGGTTACCAACTACCATCGGTATTCAATATTCAGTATCGATTCATTATTTCAATATTCATCAATTCAGTGATTGAATGAAGCAGTCGCGACCTAGTGCGGCAACTGCACGCGGGCTATAGTACTAGAGCTAGTCGCGACCTAAACCGACCAGGCTCTCCGACTGTTACACGTCGTAGGACAACTCGTCGGAGGACCTCTCGCCAACGTAGTCTTAAGCGAGAAGGGAACTTGTGGCGACCATGTTAGGCCACTCGCAGCTAGGGCTTGCATACCTCCCAAATGGCCATTGGTTGATACAAATCTAGTTAATTTTTTACTTAAATTTTAATTAGGGTTAGTGTTAGGGTTAGGGTTACTGGGTTAGGGTTAGGGTTACTGGGTTAGGGTTAGGGTTAGGGTCACAATGCACCATAAAAGTTTTATTAAAACATGAGTTTCAGGCATGTGATTTGTATCAACCAATAGGATTTGGGAGGTATGCAGGCCCTAGCTGCGAGTTGCTAGGGCCCTTACCAGGCAATAGTATTAGTGGCAATACCCATAGACAAGGATTGAATTTGAAGGAACAATTTAGCGCAGTCTCTAAAAAGCTGTTCCGGACATAGCCCGACCAGGCTGTGCGACGGATTGTCTATCCTAACCCTAGCGATACCGTTTCTTGGAGCTGTTCCGGACAGTGACAATACGCATTAGTCACGCATATCTTGTTTGACTATACCTGTATTATTTTCGAGCTAAGATTTATTCATATTATAACATCTTCATCATCATATGGGCCGCTTTCCGTCTACTGCACTTATCGCGACATATACACTACACACACCCACATGTACCGTACGTGGCCCAAAAAGCACACAACCAATAATAAAAGTTGCCCGCTAGATGTCGCGCAAACATGTGAAATGGCGAAGGAAATATCATCAGTAACGGATCCTAGAGTAAATATTTAGTTATTGTTCAATTTATTAAGGCACGATAGCTGTGATGGTGACCTTTCTAGAATAAAGTTAACAAAACGTGTTTTGTGTTCCAGGCTATGATCACGGAAGGATGCAGGCTACCTGTAAAAATGTACAACTGCGATGAATGGCGTAAGAGACTAGGGCTATATCATGTTTAGTAATGGAATGCTATTCTCGTGTGTGTTGTATATTTTGTCTACTATTTACTATAATTGTATGAAAGGTATGGGAGATTAATGTAGTAGGTATTATGTAAGATTGTTTTTTCTTATTAATCGAACGTATCTGGGCCGTTCTATATGATATTTGTAGTGTTTCATTCGAAGATGATATGTAAACAAGTGAACATTATGAGGTATTTGGTATATTTATGTATATAATATATTAATTATTTTTTAATAGCAAATGTAACTAATTGTATAACATTTAATGCCTGTAATTAGCCATTCTTCGAAGTAAATTGATAAATCATTCGTGGTTCGAACACATATAGTATACCACATCAAAGTACAGGGTTCGACACTAACGCTAGTCCGTTAGTCCGAGACTAGTAAAAAATCAGAAGGACTAGTAGATTCCCATAGCCGTTAGTCCGGCAGGACTAGTTATATTTTCCCCGTCCCTCACCGTCCCAATTTCCCATCGATTTTACCAGCGGCAGCGTCTCTCAACCAAGATCCAAAGTGCTATATATAACTCATTCTCATTAACAAGTTTTCCTTGTTAGACGCGCTAGTACAAGTAGACGCTAGCATGCTCTGCACGCTCTAGGCATGCTAGACCCTACGGCAGTGCAAACATTGTTAAACAATGGGATCACTAACCCACCCAGTCTACCGAGTGATCGTTTGACAGTAGCTGTTGACATAGAACAAACGGTCTGATTGTAGAAATGACGCAACTAATCACTTATACGCTCTCATAGAGAGGTATTTACATAGCAAGCACATCGCATGCGTGTGTTACTTGAAGCAGTTCAAAAGAGGTGATGAAAGTGCACACGCACGCACACACGCACGTGTACGTGCACGCGCACCCATGCGCACGTATACGTGCACACGCACGTGTACGTGCACACGCACGCACACACACACACACATGTGTACGTGCCTATGCACGCACGTGTACGTGCACACGCATGCACACACGCACACACACGTGTACGTGCCTATGCACGCACGTGCACGCGCACGCACACACGTGTACGTGCCCACGCACGCACGCCAGCACGTGTACGTGCACACGCACGCACGCCAGCACGTGTACGTGCACACGCACGCACCCACGTGTACGTGCACACGCACCCGCGCACGTGTACGTGCCCACGCACGCACACACGTGTACGTGCACACGCGCACCCGTGTACGTGCACACGCACGCACGCAAGCGTACGTGTACGTGTACGTGCAGATCAGCTTTCTTCCCAGATGTCTTTGCAACTCTGATTTCAATTCATTTACGGTTTTCCCTTCGTAACTAGACGCCATTGTTTAGCAGTGATACCGGACAGTGCACGCGCGCCATCTATCCAGCGATTAGTAAATGGCGAACCCCATTAGAAATGCACATGCACTTATCACAGAAATGAATTTGGCCTCATTTATAGCTACAAACTGTTCCCGGCGACTTGTATCGGCTATCGCCGAAATGAACCTCTGGCAGGCCTTGTCGGTGAGGTAAGTGCTGCCGACATCTAACCCCTTGGCCTTGTCAAGCTGGCACAGCTTGACTATACAGGGACCCTAAGCTTGACGTAATCGGTGTAGGGCCTGCCGTTTTTTCCAATAGAACGGATCCAC